CAATAATGCAAAGCAAATAAATCTAGAATAACTCAGGTAAACTTCCAATGCCGTCATCCCCAAGACAAGCAAACATGTATATGATTATGTCAATAAAATAGTGGTAAACCAATACAAGACTGGAGGCATAAGAAGGACAAAAAGAGAAAGAACAGAAAATCCTAGTTGCATTTTCCATTCTCCAACCTTTACTACGTTGCTTACTTGCTCACACTGTTTAACTGGCTCTGTGATGGAACACAGTTTTTGCTTTAATATACTCAAAAATAAACTCAGTGGGAACGTAGTTGAAGAAACTGGGCATAAAGTCTTATATTGAACTCTACCTCCCCTTCTCCAGTGACAGTATTCAAACCTCTGTGCCTAACAAACAGGAAAAATAAGGGGAAAAAAAAAGCTTAATTAGTGTTTGCATTTGAGACTTAAAAAGTCAAAAGAAGCAGCATGCAAAACTCAGTCAAAAAATTCTTCATTTTCACCTGATCAATCAAAATGCAAAATGTGACATTCATACAAAGTAAATACTATAGATCATGTAAAATAGTTGACTCAAGCCCGCAAAGACTTGCATAGAACTTTTCCAAAGGAGCTGCATGAAAACAAAGTGCCAAGGCATGTTGCTTCATCCAAAAATTATAGCAAGAAACACATGTTGCAGGGAGCAATAAATTTTGCTCATTTTCAAGACTGCCCTTTGATGACAAACAGTTAAAGCATAACCCTTTAGTTTATTCTGTTTCCTCAAAGTTCTCCAAATGCCCTGTTTAGCTTTCTTTAGCCCTACCTTCCTCCATTTCAACTATGGGGAGATTTAATATGAGATTCTCACACTGTTTAAGAATTTTCTACTAAAAACCATATTTTATTCATAAGCTATAGCCTAATATAATAGTTTGAAGAGCATACCAGTCCCCAGACACATTTTTAGTACTTCTTTCATCCTTACATACTCAAGGCAACATTTCTGACCTTCCATAGAAATGGTGATGATCTAAATTATTTTATCACAGCACTCACTGTATTTTTAGATCCAGTTATTATCCAATGACATTCTCTCTGTAGAGCTAAATAGATGTGTCTTCTTCAGAGGTTCTCTCTCACTCAGTACTTAAAAAGTCAGAAAGTTTGTTCCTTAAATACTAATGGCAATTCATACCCATGGTATCAAGTTACCATATCATAACCCAAGAAAATTTACTGTTAAAAAATACCTTTATATTATAGAAGAAGATTACATTGTTAAATAGGAAAGTTTCAGCCTGCCATTGAACCTATATTTAATATCACCTTAAGAAACACGAAAAGTAAATGAAAAATAGTAACTTTTCCCCCATTAACATCTCAACCAAAAATAAGTTTGTTACCAACTTGAAAGAAAATCATAGTATTTCAATTTTTAAGTATTTTGGTATACTTTGTTTTTTAACTAATCAAGACATATGTATTTTCCACTACCCATATTCTTCAAAATACAGATGGCAGTAAGAAATTACCAGACATAACACTGTTATACAATGCACTATACAAAAACCTGTCATTTAAGTTGCAAGAAACCTAGTCATCAATAAGTGAAAAAATACCCCGCTCAAAAATCAATTATGTTGAGTCTTTTGTATAGAGAAGTAGTACACCTTTCAGGCAACTGGTATTAATGAGCAGACATGGCTATAGAATCTCCATCTGTTTTTCTGACAAAGCTGTGACTACTCCAGTCTCTCATTGAAATTCCATTAATCTGGTGCACCAAGGACCAATGTGAAAATCAAAACTCCATCTAACCCTTTATCAGCTCACAATAACCTACAAGTGAACTCTGCCTGTTAGCATACAGCGAGTTATGATTTTGCTATCAATCAGGCTGTTAGCCAACAAAAAAAAAAAAAATCAAGTTAAGACCAGAGTGCCTGGCAGTGCTGCTTTGTTTGGTCTGTCTTGTTTTTGGGTTTTGTTATTTTATTTGGGGGTTTTGTTGTGTTTTATCCCTCTTCCGGTTTCTGTAGGGTGTCTGGATATGTAAGCCTATGCATCATTCTCCTTCGTTGTGATTTAATTGCTGCCAGCAATCAAGTCAAAGCATCACTGAAGTGTGCTTGAATTTCATTAGATGATATAACTTATGCTACTTTCCTACAGTACCTAATAAACCATAAAGAAACCAAAACACATATGGCTTGAGGGAATAACTGGAAAATTAGGTGGCCATTTGGGAACTGAGTGAACTTTTGAACCAGAGGAACAGAGAAAAAGAAATATTAAAAGGAAAGACAGACTTAGAATGCACACAGAGACGTGGGGGTTTGACCTTTTCAGTACCTAGAAAATTACATTAGCATTATGAAAAATACATATCATGTTTAGAGTTTATAATCCATCAAAGTTTAGATACTTTGTTAGTGCCTACCATAAGGTAAAAGTCAAAAGGACAACATAACAATCGGATTTGACAAAAGGCCTTTAGGTGACCTGTGCTAATTTAGTTATCCCATACTTATTGTTAAATGGATTATCTCTCTTGTAATTAATACACCATTAGAGAAAGGTCACACAAAAACTCCACCATTTTACAATGATTGTAGCACACACGTAATACTCTAATTCTTTATCTGTTACCAAGCAGGTGCCTTCACAAATTATGTTTTGACAGAAATGCTGTAAAGTAAAATACTGATACTTTCACAAGTCACACAAACCTTGCAGTCTAACTCAAGTATATAAAGAGAAATGCCCATTTTGTTTTGGGTTTTTTTAGCAGAAAATATATACAGAAGGTTTTACATAAAAATATGAATGGAACTCAAACATAAATAAAAATCAACTCAATTTGGTTACCTACAAATAGGGCCCTCTGTTAACGCTGAGAGCATTGATCCTACGCAAATCAGTTTTAGACCTGCACAGAGCCCTGCTGAACTGAACTGGTAATCATGTAAGATCAAACATCTACCTTCTTGAGTAGATTTTAAATATTGAACATTAACAGACTGCTAGAAAACAAAAATACACTATTAAGCTTTAACAAACCCATTCATGCCTATAAGGACTGAACCAAAGGCACCTCTGAGGATCAATCCACCTCTTATAAGATTCTCCCAACATACATTTTCATATATAGTCTAGGTGGCTAGACTTGAATGATGGATTATATATGTTAATATCAAAATGGTTTTAGAATGACACATTGGACATTCAAAGAGAAAAACAGGAACACTACTCCAATAAATGAAAGTATTTACAGATCAAAATTTACCACCTTCTCTCAAATTTTCCTAGTGCTACACTCTCACTAGGTAATTAAAGAGGATTTATCATAAAATACAGAAAGACTAGTAATATCACCTCAAACAACAGAATTGCACCCACTATATTTCTACCTAAATTGGTACAAGTTAGGAAAGATATTATTGAGCAGCTATTATATCTACTCTCATAGCTTCAAAATTGGCTAAAATTAATCACTTATCTGTACAAACTCATATGGTATTTCACATACTCTTGCATCAGCATTCTTCAGCCATTCATTATTGAGGTTTATGAACATTATCACTTTTTTTCTTGATTAACTGTTTTGAAACAATTCTATAATCATATCTCCTATTAAATAGTCATATAATTTTATCACATACCCTTTATGCAATCAGTACCATGTTATTAAGTTACAATTAGAAATAATGTTAAGATTATGTTTGTAAGCAAAAATAAATACATGGAAAGTTGCATTCATCTGTAGTTTTGAAAATTACCTTGGGTTTTCTAAAAGCCATATGCAATTTGAGTGATAATTACATTTCAACCAGAGAGCAAAAAAGCCTGGTTTTATTTTTTTAATAGAAGGTCACATTGCCAACATGCAATAAGCTCAATATAAAAAAAAAAAAAGTGTGATTATTATTGTTACACATTTTACAGACTTCTGGACATAAAAAAATTGCGTTATTCTGAATCAGTGGTTAGAAGGTTTATCACTTATGCATGTACTTGACTTATCCCTGTTCTGCAATAGACATAATTTTATACCTCATAAAAGCAATTTATGTTTCCAAAGGGAATAATCTGGATAACATAAAATGTGGAGTGCTATGTTGCAGGAAGCATATTTTCATTCAGCAATTGTATTTCGAGATGGAGCTGCACAGTTTGATCATCATATCATGTCAGCAAACATCATTCACTAGTAAGTCTATCTAACTTCTAGTGCCACAAATTAATATACATCGTTAATTTATTTGTACATATACCTAATTTATTGCCATATATTATCCATTGAAGGTATTTATATTACATATACAATAAACAAATTTCAAAAATATGGACACTACGCTAAAGCAAGCTTGTTAACTGTTGAAATATTCAATTGTTCACGTCTTCAGAACAGCCGCATTTAGCATTAAACTTAATGAATACAAAATAAAGCAACATGGAAAACAGCTATGGAGCCTAGAGTTTTTTTTTAAATGCAAACTCAAATTTAAAATTTATATAACAAAAACTGTCTTAATGGAAGGAAACATTGTAGGAATAATTAATTTAATATTTTATGAACCTATTCTGCATGGAGTTTGCAGAAAAATATCAATCACATAAACTGTTTCATTATTTATTAGATAAATAATACAGTAAGCCATTAAGTAGTACAATAAAATTAAGCAAGAATCTGATAATGCTGAATTAACAAACAATTTGTTACTACAAATATTCACACTGTTTTAGCCACTGATCTATCTTTAAAAACATATGCATCTACAGAAGATGCTTTGTTATCAAAAAACATGAGTTTCAAAACACCATGTAAATTTGAGACAGCTTCACTATGCTCTAGGACCACTAGAGAGAGCTCTTCAGTTCCTTTAAAGGTTCTTGTAAAGGTAAGAAAACTGTCCAGCTGATGCTTATCTGTTTATCTGTTTTTCCAACACTAACATTCGCATCATGAGGATCCGATTACATGAGTTCATAGCAAACTGGCAAATCTAGTACATTCTAAGGTAAAGAATGTCACATACCATCAGAAGGTGCTTCATCCTCTTTATCATATCGGTCAGATGCTATTGAGACACTATCAGGAGGTGAAGAAAGAGAGTTCTCAGACTTGTCCTCATCTTCCAGTTCTGTAAAAGTCAAAAATATATTGCTGGTTAAATAGTGTATCATGCAAACACAGACAGAATAAAAGTATTTTTGATAGTAAGAAGGATATGAATTCCTATCTGAAATAGAAAAATTCCCATTTCTCATGGACACTCGTATGCTCCAGCACAGCTGTGAGCACTGCTGTTCTAGGGCTACCTTTATGTGTACATGTTGCTGGAGTGGTTTCCCTAAAGGCTGTCATATAATGAAGCTGCTCCCAGCACTGCACAGCTGGCAGCTTCTAACACAGGGATGGAAGAAACACACACCACAGCAAAGAGGTGGGCAAGGGAAAATGCTGGCAGAAGGAGAAAAGGAGAGCGCCAGGCTCCAAAGTTCTGCCTGTCCGAGTGCAGGATGGAGCTTCAGCAACTTCCCTCTCAGGAAATGCCAAACTATTGTTGGCAGCAGTTTGTTGACCTCTGCCTGCTTTCACTTTTTTTCACCATAATTAGGCTCTGCTTGGCAAATTTGTATGTGCATTCTTCCCATGAAACCAGAAGTGGAATCGCCTTCTGACAGAACTTGTGGCTTAATGCAGCATTCTGTTAATTAATTTCTTACACAACTGAGAGCCCCACTACAATAGATACAAAATCTACGTTATCAGCTGACCTAATGCACTCTGATCAGTGTCATGCATAAGTGCGAAAGTCTGGGAAAGATAAACTGAAATCAATATTAGTCGAGGCTTTCATCTAATTAGACAAAATTTAAGTTCTCCCTCCCAAAACTTAGTATATTTTCTCAGATATGTTTCATACCTCTAGGCAAAAAAGAGTTGGAAAAAGAACATAAACTACATTACTCCTAAAAAAACCAAAATCAAGTCTTGGTGAAGGAGAAAAACTAAATACGACAAAAATCACCAGAGAGTTGATGCAATAGATCAAATGACCCTCAAATTTCTTAAAAACCATGTAACAGTAAATTGTCCAAGCACTGCCTTTTTGTATATACATACACAGAAAGCTTTCCAGAGATCTCCAGATATCCTTTCTTATTCACATGTTTCTTTTTGGAGCACTGTACAGGATAACTAGTTTCTCAGAATCTAAAATAAACTCCCTGCATAGTGAAAATATTCTTCTCCATAGACACAGGAATTGTGCTCATCAGTAGGACTGCCTCACCATGGCTGCAAGTTTACCCCTTCCTATTCAATAATGGAAATTCATGGAAAATTCACAGTCCATGTCCAGAAAACACCATGGTTGTTTGCAAAGAACAGCAAGTCTTCTATGCAGATAAGACAACAAAGCCTGATACTTGCTTTGCTGGAATTCTTTTACATTGAAAGGTTGTCAAATACTAAATTGGCTTTTCCTTCATTAATTTAGTGTGCTTTTTCCTGGGAAAGTTTCCTTTCAAGCTCTCATGCCATCTAACAACTGCTCTGAATCTGAACCTGACTCCAATCTATTTTTGACACGGTCCTCTCCCAGTAGCACGCCAGTTATCGTGTTAATCTGATCAAAATACTTGCATTTCATCACACCTGTCAAACCAATCAAAAGTAAATTATCCCTCTCCAGGATTCACCTCTTCCTCCAAACAAAAAAACTTAGAGTAGATAGCACATGAACAGAAAATATTATGCCTTATTTACAGCCAGCATGATCATCTTTCACACTTAGATGGCAGAGACCAGTTGCCTGTCTCTCTGCCTATATATATCTTTATTAGATGAAAGACTCTATATAAAAAGAGTAGACATGATATTTGCAACCTATACAATAGCAAAAGTTTTTCCACTCTTTTCCTGTCCTAAACTTTTACCAGTATCAGAATACATAGAATATATGTGTATATGCAGGTCCTGGCTGTCAATCAAAAATGTCCTCTTATCAGCTATGCATAAACATACTATCATTTAACCTTCATGAAGGTGACAGAATAAATTTAAAATACTAGGCTGTATTTCTAGAGGAAAACATTTCCACAAACACCACACTCAAAATTCATGGGTTGAATCGTAAACCTTAGTATATTTGAATGAATAGCACTTAGTATATTTGAATGAATAGCACTTAGTATATTTGAATGAATAGCACTTGTGGATGAAAAATAGGTGAGTTTATACGTAGAAAGAACATCTGCAGGGAATTTTGCCCCACTCAGCAATAGATAATCTCTTATGTAAGTTTGCATAGCTGCACTGTTACCTTGCTCTTCCATTAAGTCACCATACTACCATTTTCCAAGTATGCTTAGGATTTCAAATTCAGTAAACATTTGTGCTTTACTTCCATATAAAAGCTAAGATCTAGGAACAAGGGTCTTTTTAATACATACATACAAACATACATATTTAGGGCACAATTTACTTGTACCTATCCCAGACTGTGCTGGCTTTGGCTAGGAAAGAGTTAATTTTTCTCATAGTAGCTGGTATCAGGCTATGTTTTGGATTTGTGCTGAAAACAGTGTTGATAATACAGGCATGTTTTAGTTACTGCTGAGCAGTGCTTACAGAGTCAAGACCTTTTCTTCTTCTCACACCAACTCACCAGCAAAAAAGCTGGGAGTGAACAAGTTGGGAGGGGATGCAGTTGGGACAGCTGACCCCAACTGACTAAGGGGCTATTCCACACCATAAGATGTCGTGCTCAGTCTATAAAGCTGGGGGAAGAAGGAAGGAAGAGTAGGATGTTTGGAGTGATGATGTTTGTTTCTCTAAGTCACTGTCACACATGATGGAGTCCTGCTCTACTGGAGATGGCTGAACAACCTGGCTATCCATGGGAAGTAATGAATGAATTCCTTGTTATGCTTTGCTTGCATGTGTGGCTTTTGCTTTACCTATTAAATTTCATATCAACCCATGAGTCTTCTCACTTTTACCCTTCCGATTATCTTCTCTATCCCATGTGGGGCTCAGTTGCCACCTGGGGTTAAACCATGACACAGGTATATACTGTATTTGTAACATCAAAGAACATGGCAGCACTGAATGTAGATTTATAGTAAAACAAGTATCTGTTCTATTTCTACAATATCCAAATTCAAAGTGCTCTTAAAACAACTGAAAAATGTTGAGGTATTTTGAAGAAAGAAATTACACACTCAGTGCTTTATAGACTTCAAAGCATTCTCTAGGTGTTAAATCCTAAATAAGGCTTGAAGACTTCCATGAAGAAAAGGCCCTCACTGAGAATGACAATCAGAACAAATAAATAAATCCTATGTCATACAATTTAGATACCCACACTTTAAGTGAAAAATGTGGAAAATAGGTGACAGACACTAAACAGAGGTATAAGCAACCTGCAGTCATGCAGACCTAGATTAAACAAAAAAAATCTTCCATTTTTTATTTTAAATAAATGTATTCGTAAATTTGTATTATACCCTGAAAAATGTAATCCTTAAATCATCTAATTTGTACAGAACTGCACGCATTTCGGTAGGAAAGCTGACTCAATGTGCTCTGGAGCTTTAACAGGCAACATCTCACAATGTGTTTATGTGCTTACATAAAAGAATGACTACTTTCTGGTATCATCCTTGGAGTTTTGCCTCCAATTCTGTCAGGGTTAAAAGACATCCTAGGAGCGTATGCTATTAATATATAAAGATACTGCATCTGACAGTTCACAGAGAGGCTTCTTGTTGATTCTATACATCTCCTACATTCCCACTCAGAATAACCTCTGCCCTTCCTTCACTTTACATCCTCTTCCATCAATGTGTTGCATTGAAGTTCATACTCCACCTATGGAGTAAGAGCAGACAGAATTGCACTTGAAGCTCCATATGTTACTCCTTGAACAATCACAGGAGTCAGTGTTGAGCAGCACAAACCACTACTCTCTTCAGGTGCCAAGTACCTAAAAATACACCCAAAAAGCTTCAATAAATTAAAGAAAAGAATTCAACTTGCACTTATGTAATAGAAAACTGAACTACAGAGCAACAACGGGCATCAGGTAAATGTATCCAATACAATTTGAAGGCATAATTGAAAGCATTGCTGCCTAATCAGACATCTAAAAGCAAAGCATGCTCAAACCAAATGTCTATAGACTCATTAGTTGGCAGCCATTCCATTCCAATCACATATAATGTCAGTAGTGCCTTGAACCTGTGCCAATGACAACAGCATAAATTTTGCATCTCATTTCTGTGGTCATAAAATTAATGACCAGTTTAAAAATACTTCTTTGCAAAAGTTATTGCACAAAGGAATGACATGAATGTGTCCCTGTTATGTAGTCACAAGAATAATTAGGGAGTTGATGCTCATTAATATAGTTTCTTGTTTCCCCAGAACACCATATGATTTATATGGAAGTTGGGGGGAAAAAAGGATTAATTAATGGTAGATATTTAACAGTCACAACAATAGCAAAAATATGTATAAGAACTGACCCTATTCCCCAGCTTCTGCAATTTAAACTAATCTCTTACAGGTTTGATAGCAGAATCAATATATTATGCTGTCTGTAAAAAAAAACCCCATACAATGTCGTTCCTTATTAAATGCTACCTTTTACATTACAGCTTATTTATTGATTTAGGAAATAATGCATACCAAAGGGTAAGTGTACCACATTAGGAACGGAGCATAGAACAAACTCTCCTCATTGTAACAAGAGCCATAGTTCAATGCCTACCCCCTGTTCTGAAAATTTCCAACAGATTCAGTTGGTACAAGCTGAATATAATGAACAGGACCATATTACATTATAAGAATCCAGCTAAAAAAAAAAAATCTAGACTTTTTTGCCCCAAAAATTCATTTTCTTCTGCAATAGTGAGGTTATAATAATGAATTCCTAAGCATTAAAGATACTGCTTCCACCACTTAACCTAAAAAAGAGAAGCAAGACGTTTCAGCCAGTGCCTCTGAAAGAGACTTGCAAGCTCACATGCTCAGATAACTAAACACTTCCAATTTATTTCTAAAACATCTAGACAGAATGACGCATTAAAATTGCTCAAGTATAAGAGAAATAAAACAACTCACAAAAATAAA